GAAAATAAATATTGAATGTTGAATGAAAACTCGAAATTTGCATTCGGAAAAATTGAAAATGTTTATGTACGCTGGAATCTTGAAACAAATGAGGTGCATGTGCTGCTATCTAGTATAATGGATGACAACTGCATTGGAGTAATTTTTTTAAGCGAATTTTCAAGTAAATGGCGCCATCTTGTAGGTCCAAGTGCAAAGAACATTCTCAATGATCGTAAGTCGGTAATAATGTTTGTGACAATTTTATTTAGGCTGGAAATCAACAACAAATAAATTGGAACATTTATGTATCTTTATTTGATACCTAGAATAGAGGATGATTAAATACTTCAACATAAATTCCATACTTGAAAGTATTTTCTCGTTTTTTATTTATATTTTTTAATCATTTTTTTAATTTATAATTTACAATTCTTCTACGTGACATATATACTAAAAAATTCTGTTAATAAATTCATCTAAATACGTTCCTCGTAATACTGCAAAATCTTATTAACGCTTTTAATCTTTTTACTCCATAAAAAAATTGCAGAGACACACTCGTTTACTCGCGGAAAGATACTCACGTGGCGTATAATTATAAATAATCTGCATACGAGTATAATAGAAGTAAAAATAAAATGTATACAAGCAAGGATTTGATTAACTATTCTTAACAATTTTATGTGTAGCTTATTTGCATGACATTGTTTAAATATCTGAGTATATTTACGTAGTATAATTTTGATAACATGGAAACTTTCTTCGAATGTAGGAATTATATTCTAGTTTCAAATACCATCGAATAATTTCTATTTTTATCGTTCAATCTGTCAGACTATCCAAACATTACTTTATTTTCATTTTCAAATTTCAATTCAGTCCGCATCACCACCTGGTACCGATCAGACTAATCTTAGATCGAAATTGCAGACGTACATTCACATCGAGAATCTTTTTCAAAATTCAAAGGATCTCAAATAATGAATCATTCATCCTAATACACTTTCTCAACATTTTTCTAAAAATATTATTAGCATTTTTCCCCACAAAGTTCTTCAATAATTTTATAATTCGCCATGAGCCACGAAGATCCTTCAGAAAAAACGATGAATTTGATATATTCCAGAACAAACTGACCGTGAAGCTGAATTGTAACCGTTGCATGTTTTGCTGTTGGCAGTAAACAATAATATTTCGTTCTACAAATAACGCGAGACGTCGAATGTTCGCGTCCAAACTCGAGTCCTTAGCGTGCCGACTACAAAATGGCCGACTGGCGAGAAAATGGATTGAACCTGCACACGCGACCAATAATTTTAAGAAATCATTCCTATCGCGTTTCTTATAGAAACATTCAAAATTTCATTCTTTTATAAATTCATAAATATTTAAAGACCTAAATACAGACGAAAGGAAACATGTTTCCTGAAACCACATATAAACAATTCAAATGGTCATTTACTTATTCTTAGACTGATTATGTTCGTGCAAAATTCACAGTTTCAAATACAGAGTGTCTAAAAGTCAATATTAGATGGAATTTAAAATGACCGATGGCCTTGACCTTGGTATATGTTGTCAAGGTCACCCTTCTGAGTGACCGTCAGAAAGTTTCAGTTATCAAATGTTTATTACATAAAACTTAGAATTATTAATCTAACTAAGAATTATTAAGAGAGCAATGATACCTTTTCCTTGAACTGTCTCTAATCAACTCTGAATGGTTCTTTTTTTCTTGAATTGTCTCTAACCACCTCTGAATTAGGTTTTATTCTTGAATTGTCTCCAACCAACTCTGTATGACTTTTCTTTTTCGTACTGTGTCTAACCAACTCTGAAGCATTATACCGATCGAAGTAATTTTTCTACCACAATGCATAAACATCCATAGTTTACTCGTTCTATTTTACCGTCATTTCAATTAAGTCAATTAAAATGAAATTTTTATTTCAATTTTCATTAAAAAGGGGGAAATGATCGATGAGATCGACGGATTGTCTTCCGTGGAAACGTTGTCCAAAATCGCGCATTAGGCAGACGCGTAGATTCGCAACGGGTCTGGAAGGACCAGAAATAAATTTAGACCGATCTGTTACGACGAAGGCCGTGCCAAAGTGAATCGTATGCGTACACGCTACATAATCCTAATTACAATACATATCACTATTTTCGTGCAACACTTGTTACCTCCACCTGTTATTCCGCTCGCCGTCTAACAACACGATACACAATCACGTCGAGTATCAAATAAAAAACTCTTCGAATACATAAAGCGTTTTGAACGAGTACAAAACTTGATGTGTTTCCTTCATAACCCTTTCAGACCTGAATTTTCTTTTAAGAGTAAAAAAAATATTCGATTACACATTTTAACACAGTAGACTGTTTAGATAATATTTTGGTTAAAAAGATTTGTTCTTCAATTCTGCGTTCACTAGATCTACTAAAAATATTCAGAACATGAAAAGATTCAAATTTATATGAAAAATATGGATCTGCACAGGCATCTACTTTGAACGTTATGAACCCTTGCTTTGTTTCACCCTGTATATTTTAGACCACTTCTATCCAGTCCATCGATCTTTAATATCCCATAAACAACAGTTGTTTCAGACTGTCAGCCATTTTTTTTTTTAGCCAAATTGTAAGGCAAGGGGTTAAGAGCGTTAATACAGTCAATTATAATCCAACAAATTATAGCAGAAGGATTTATTTGCACATTGATGTATGTGAATAATGTAATTAATGTTCTGAATGTTCGTTAATTTACGACCCATTGTTCACCATAATATCACGATTATTCGGATATTCTTGGACACGGATCAGCTGAACGCGTTCCGTGCGAGCAATTCAATTTTCAACGGAACATCAGTCTCCGCCACGAATGCTTTCGATTCTCGACGATTCTTAGTAACCTTCGCGTAACATTTTATGTGTATTCGCATTTCTTCACGTCTAAATCCGTCTTGCTCGACGTGTTCGCGATACTCAGACTCCTCACGCACACAGCCAAAGTCCTGTGGTCCATTCCATCCTTTCCTTGTTCCTCCGTTTCAGCGTTGTTTAAACGACATTTATCGTTGAATATTATGAAATAAAATTTAACAAGGTATCACTGAATTCTAAACCGTGAGAATTGTTTAAAAATCTTCGTAGGAGCAATAGCAATAGAAAATAAGGATCTGGTGGAATTACCAAATGATCCTACAAAAGACAAGATTAATTTATCGTTCAGTATTACTAAATAAAATGTAAATAATTGTTACTGAATTCTGAACCGTAGAGATTGTTTAAAAATCTTCGTAGGAACAATAGCAATAGAAAATAAGGATCTGGAGGAATTACAGAACGATCCTACAATAGTCAAAATTAATTTATCGTTCAGTATTACTAAATAAAATGTAATAAATTGTTACTGAATATTGAACCGTAGAGATTGTTTAAAAATCTTCGTAGGAACAATAGCAATAGAAAATAAGGATCTGGAGGAATTACCAAACGATCCTACAAAAGACAAGATTAATTTATCGTTCAGTATTACTAAATAAAATGTAATAATTGTTAGTGAATTCTGAACTGTAGAAATTGTTTAAAAATCTTCGTAGGATCGATGGCAAAGGAAATGAGGGTCTGCAGGAATTAGCAAGTGATCCTACAGACTTCATTATTATTGGGTTTCTTAGGAATACAAATTTTACTAAATGAACTTTATTTAAATAAAATAAGTCGTTAATCACTGTTGGTAATTGATTTGCCGATAAATATATTTATTCGTGAGAATACTGCAATAGATTTCTTTACGTCTCACTTAACAATCGGTGGTTCACCGCCATTTTGGTACACAGATGGCGCTCTCAGGATTTATTTTATCACTTGTTCGTACAGAAATAGTCGATGATAGAGGAACTTGCGGAATATTCGATAAATGAAGACACTTTGGCAGAGGATCGCGAGAATAAATTAAGAGATACAATAAACTTATGATTCAATTTATGAAATCTTCTGGCATTGCATCATGCCGGAGTTGGATTTCAATTTGATTTTCTTTCATTGTACCTTCTTGATGCCCCTAAATGTATCTGTTAGTAAGATGTTTGTCTTAAAGTGGAGATGAGTACGATTTAATCTGAATAGTAGATGGAAAACAATAAATTAAACGCTTATTTATAGACTTTAAAATAGAATTAATTATTAAAGTATTATTAAGCATTTTATTAAGTGGGAAGTAAGGAAAGGTAAAATAATAATAATGTTAATAATTATAATCATTATTATTTTGTTCAAATTAAAAATAAAAATAAATCTATTGAAACCCATTGTGAACAAAATTTGGCTAATAATGGTAAACAAATTAGATTTCACTTTGGTAAAATCATAGTCGATTACTCTTGTTTACAACCTACTCTACATTAAGACAAATTGATTTACTCTATTAAAGGATTCAATGAAACTCCAAATAATATAAGAGGATCATTAAAATTTATTTATTGACTGTAGAATCAATGCACTCATACAATAATTAACCTTTAAATGATCCTAATTTTCGTGAAACCACTTATACAAGTGAATATTCGTATAAATATCCATAATAAATACTGTAAATCCCACGCCACAATGCAAAAATGAATCACCAAGTGACGTCGACAGTCCACAGGAACCGATCTTTCCACAAATTCGCAATTTCGGTCTCGTTTAACGTCATTTAACGCCCGCGATCCATCTGATAAATCATCTAGTGTGGCCGCGTATCAAAAAGACAAGAATTTCAGCGATCGTGTTTCCATTTAACACTGCCAGCTATTGTAAATATGTACTCAGTGTGGTTGCAGTTGTCTGGGCCGTGTGTGCGTCGAAGTAATATTATATTTTTAGCGATACACGTCGGGAATATCTCGAATTTTCACGGGTGAATCATCGCCGCCATCGCGCCAGATCAGGCAAAAAACATATGTCCACGGCGTAAATAATAAATATAATCATTATTATTCAGTTATAAAATACAAAATAAATACATAACGTCTCTGTGTGTGTGTATATTGATATTATATATATACATGTACATAAAAAATACAAATTTTCGAGGGGAAATCTAAAAGGGGGGAGATGGGGAGGAGGTTCGCTGTTCGGAGTCTCTACTTTCCAAGGAGGATCTTGCGGGTCGCGCCGAGACTTTGGCCGGCTTGGGTGGCACCCTTGTTCGATCCAGCCTGGAGACCGATCACCGACTCGCCGGATCGGAGCTGTTCCTCCGTGAACTCACGTTTGCATTCCTCTGATGGTTTCGGTCCTAGGTAAGGTCCCTTCCATTCTGGGTGCTTGTACGTCTGGAAGAATGGAGAATGTCGAGATGGTAAGGTTAGGTTCGATACTTTGACCATATTTAATAAATTATAGAGGAAATGGAGGTATTAGGATTGTATTTAACACTTCGGCCATTTATGGATACTTTTATGTCTAGAAGTATGAAAAAAATGGCGACGTTAAAACTACGTTTAGTAGTTTGGTTATATGAAAGTTTGCATGTCTGGAATAATGGACAATGTGGAGATCGTAGGGTTAGGTGAGATACTCTTTGGCTGTATGGGATCATGGAGGAAATGGTGGCATTAGGAATGTATTTAACACTTAGACAATATGGTATATCTAAAAATATCAAATAAGTGGAGACACGAGACTACGTTTAATAGTTTTGTTATGTAGGTGTTTGTATATCTGGGAAAGTAGAGAATGTGGAAATAGTAGGGTTAGGTTCGTTGCGCTTTGACTACATGGGTGATTATGTATATGAGATTATGGAGAAAATGGAGGTATTAAGATTGTGTTTAATACTTTGACCATATGGGTACTTTTATGACTAGAAGCATGGATACTGTGGAAATACCAGGTTTACGTTTAACCCTGTGGTTATACGTCTGGAGAAAGTGGAGAATTTTGAAATATTAAGGTTAGGTTCGATACTTTGTATGGATCTTTATATGTCTGGAAAAATAGGAAAGGAGGATGAACCCACTGATGTTAGGTATACAGGGCAATTCACACGTTTTTGCGATCACATGACGTGGAAGGTGGCGACAAACCATGATCATCATTTAGGAATTTTATTAGAGGGGATGTTTCTTTATTCAGCGATCTTATTAAGGGGCAATACTGTACTTTGAGTATATGAGTGTTCGTATGTCTGGGAATATCGAGAAAGTGGAGATACTATTATAGGTTTAGGTTTCATAGTTTGAGCATATTAACCCTCGTATTCCTATGACCGGGTCACCTGAGACTCATCAGTGAAAACAGTCATCGTACTATTTATAAATATTTACGTGTCTGTGTGATCTTGTTATGGGTCACGATTGACCCAACCATGGGCTTTGACAGTTCATGCTCCGAGAATTAAATGTGGATTTATCATTATCTATTATTTGCATAGATGATTCAGAATTCAAATCATTACCCCTTTTTTTAGGTCGACAGACTATAACACAAGGATATGAAATTTTTGTCTGATTTAATATTGAGATGTTCCACTGTCACGCGTCTGCATAAATGAATTCCCCACGATCTAGTGATTTTGGTCGCTTATAGTCAGACAGTTCGTGATGCGATGACATCAGAGTCAAGTTTAAAGCCAATTTCGACGATTACCAATTACTTTTGACAATAAATATTCCATATAAAAGGGAAAAGTAAACTCGAGAATATGGAGGAAATCAATTTTTGTAGAAAAAAAATTGCACAAAATCATAAAAATAAAAGGAAAAACATTTTACCAAAATAGGAATAAACAAATTTCAATTCGTACATGGACGAAAAAAGGAACTTAAGGAAAATTAATGTAACATTAAAGATTAATTACAAATTGTAATGAAGGAAAGATGGAAGCTGAACAGATGAATTATAAACAAAAATTGGATCGAAAATGGCAGTGAACATGAATTTTGTTGTTAATTGAGCTTACCGTGCGACCAAGAGCGAACAGAGTGGTGATCACTTGGGCGATGTCCTTCTTCTCCCACAAGTCAACTGTTTGGAACACGTCGACGTCGTCCACGCCATAATCCTTCAAAGCTTTCTGGAACCTAGCGCAAAATAGCATTCATCAGTGTAATTCCAAAGATTCAACAATAATTCACATGAAAAATTTACTCACGTGTTGATGTTCTCCATCATTTTGAACTGACCGCCGGAGGAGTTGATCTTCGTGACCGATCCAGGGGCGATCTTGTTCATCAGGTGGCACAACACCTGTCCGTCCTTGAGCACATCCTCGAACGTCTCACCAGCAGGGAATTTCTTTCCCAGAATGGATTCGATCCATTCCTGGGCTTCCTTCTCCTGTTCCGGATTACGCTTCGCCGCGATCTATAGCAATGATGAAAAGAAAATCTGTAGGAACTATTAAATCATAGTTAGATCTGGATTGTGTCTGAGTTCCATCTTAATTTGATCTAGATTCTGTCTTGATTTTCTCCTGATTAGGTCTGGGTTGTACCTAGGTCTCATCGTCATTAGGTCTGAATAGTATGTAGCAATATCCTTTGTTAGGCCTAGATTATGTCTAGGTTCAAAGTCAGTCTGAACTGTGTCCAGTCGTGGCATTGATTAGGTCTCTGTATTGCCTAAGTATGGTCTTCGTTAGGAGACGTTTTCTAACATTGGTCTTCGTTAAGTCTAGGTCCTGCCTCAATTTGGTCTTTCTTAGGTCTAAATGTTGCCTAACATTGGTCTTCGTTAAGTCTAGAAAAAGCTTAAGTTTGATCTCGGTTAGGTCTAGAAAGTTCCTAAGTTTGGTCTTCGTTAAGTCTAGATGCTACTTAAGTTTGGTCTCTGTCATGTCTGCGTCGTATCCAAGTCTCATCTCAGTTAATTCCAAGTGAAAATTTCCAGTTCCAAATTTGGTCACAGTTAGGTCTACGTTCCGTTCAGGTCTGGTCTCAGTTAGGCCCAGCTTTGGGTCCAGGCGAATAAGATCACAAGTCACTGAGAATGTTCCCAAAAAGATGAACTCTTCCAGCAATTCAGCACTCTCACGATCCTGTGACAGTTATACACGATCGATGCACAAAATGGTCGCGATTAGGGCCGTACCTTGGCGCGCACTTGACGTTCGAGGGCCATCGTTGCACGTTGTAGTGTTTCTTTGAGTGGACTGAAGTGCATGGGCCGAGCCCCGGCCCCTCTTATACCGGCGACGGATGGCGGGAATACGGCCCACGCTTCGAAGTAGACTGTCCAACACGGGTGGTGTTCGTGTGTGTTTCACCACCCTGGTGGCATACGTCAAAAAAAGACGACCACGGCGGCGTGTGGGTCGACCGTGTCTGTGTGTACGTTATTTCCACGGTTTTCAGGGAATCTAATATTAGCGACTTATTCAGTTGGACAGGGGGGCGTCACGTAGGATTTCCAAAATCACGGCTGCCAAGCTCGTCGAACGAAAGTATGATGGGGTAGTTGTGGTTAATAATTTCACCATTTTCAATTTTGGAAACACTTTATTCCGATAATTATCCATACTTTCAGAACGCCATTCTGTAAACTATCACCCCATAAAAACGAAAGTATGATGGGGTAGTTGTGGTTAATAATTTTACCATTTTCAATTTTAGAAACACTTTATTCCGATAATTATCCATACTTTCAGAACGCCATTCTGTAAACTATCACCCCATTTCGCGGTGTATTAAATTCCCACCCTGTATAGAATGTGAGTGTACGTAGAAAAATAAGTGAGAAATGTAGAATAAATTTTGTTTGCTTTCGAAAGAATCGAATTGGAATGTTCCTTGAACGTATAGCAGCTGGTTCCGATCAGTAGTACCAGTCTGGCTCTTGTTGACTATTTCTACTTGATGTAAACACGTTCGGTACCATCCATTTGCCATCGCTTTTTCTGGTTCTGAATTTTCCATGAAAAACGTTTCCATGAAATTACAGTGAGACATGAATATTTCTCTATTATTGTTAATCTTTAAATACTCAAATCGAGGTTACGATCATTCCACAGACATTACGGAATCCAGGTGTACACCAGACGAATTCTCCAATCTATTTTCTAGAGAATAACGTTAGCTACTATGTGAGAATGTCTGCAATTAAAATCCTCGAATATTCCCAAGATTCTCCAAGTCCATTGGAGTGTCTTCCAGATGCCAAGATGAAAATTCAACCAAGACCACACTATAACCATCCAACTCTCCGAATTGAGTACCAAAGTCCACGATACTTATCAAACCCTTCCTGGTTTTGCTCCAGCCAGTTTGGAGGCCTAAGAGAAAGAAATGGAATGGGAAAGGCAATTCGGTTGCGTAAAGTGCCGCATGTTTTTTCTGTAAATAGTGGCCCCGCTATATAGGCCAGGTTATTATTACACGATCCACTTTTTGAATTCACGCGGAGCCGAGGACAGCACGGGATCCGAGACACACAGGGCCAAGGCCTATGGCTAAAGTCACCACTTAGAGGGCGGCCATGTGTCACGTGGCTCCCCCTGTCGCCCCCAGATTTCGCCTATGGTCGTGATAACGGACGATCGAACGATCAACGGATCTATTAAGCACGGAATGAATAAGAAAGATCATTTCATTGGCGGAATCGTTGGACTACTGAGTCAGGTTTAAATATAATTCGTTGCGTCCTGTGTATCTCCAATTCGCTGCCTCCGCTACTCCTCGTGATCGCAGCTCTTCGAGTTCCAAAGATTTTCCGAGTCTCACGACCACGTCCTGCACCCACGATTCATACACGAATTGTCCAAAATTAAATCTTTGCGCCCGTCGTGATTAATTATTTTCATAATATGCGTTCGCTGGCGCAGGTGGTATTCAAGGTATTCTATTATTACCGGGCCTCCTCATCATTTGTACGATGTTACGAGGATGTCGAGGAATCTGGCCGTAAAATTTGATGAAAATTGGCGATTTAGGGAACCTTTAAGTTATTAGAAACTTTGGAATCAATAGTTTTGGAAATTATTACTGGAATTAGTTTGAGAATTACTTTATTACTAATTACTGCTAGTCTATATATTTTAATGATTACTTGTAGATTTTTTGAACAGTAATCTTTCTAGGTTAACTAAGGCTTTTGATTATTTAATCCTAAATAATGTTCCTGTAATTCACTTTTTAGTGTGATATGATCAATTAGCATCCAATGGTATCACATTGTCCGCTATTTCCGTTACATAGGTATTGTATATAAAACATTAACGTTCATGACGTTTTTAATTATCAATTAATTTGTTTTTACACAACCGAAAATTGGCCAAAGTGACTTATCAGCGCGATCTACGGCAAAATGCTCAAGCTACTAGCCAACTAATATTAATTCCTTTCACTAGATAGCGCTATCCATCTTTTTTAATTCTGGATACTAGAATAGTAACGTTGCATCACCTTACGAAAAAAAGTGAGTATTAGTTCGTTAGAAGTTTGAGCATTTTGTTATAGATGACGCTACCACATCCTCCATTTTAGCGGAAATGTAATTTTATTTTTTAATTTATTTCTATAAATCTTCCAGAAATTACTAAACTTTCAGAATAACAATTATTATTTAATCATTACTTCTTATAATTTACAATTTATAGTTTACACAATTTCTACAGACTCTTTGACAGTAACTAAGGGAATGTTCTAAACAAGAATATTTGATAGAAAGTTGAATATTTCAAATTACCCGCGAGAATATACAACGAGCGCCTTCTAGATTCCAGTAACGTCTCTTGACCATATTCAACACCATATGCCATTTATCAGTGATTACCATAGAACTGCCGCCCCTCCCCCAAAACAACAGACGACTTTCTACTCTGTCCGAAGTATGCCTAATCACGGTGATTATTTATTTGAAAAGGTTCGTTCACTATAATAAATTATGTCGGTAAGGTAGGGAATGATACTCAAACGACATAAAAACTTTTCGAGTCGCCAAAAATCCTTCTCGCAATCATCATTTCTGTCAAGAAACAACCTATTTTGAAAATTTCATCCAATTCGGAGCATGGCGGTTTTCAGAAGTTTAGCTGAGAGGGAAGCTACTTTAGTTATTGTCCTCTCTCTCCTATGTCAACTTCGTCCCTACCATAAGACCGCGCAGTCTATTATACATGGCTCTGACATCGATCATTCGTAATATTTCAAAGTCTAGTAACAGTGCTCCAAAAACAATTATAATTGTCACTAAAGGAAAATCACTGAAAAGTACCGTATCCAATCGCCAGACGGCGGTACAGACCAATCTGAAATTATCACCGACACGTGCTGTTATCTACGCTTTGATATTTTCCGCCGAGCCCTGCAGTGGAAGGGTAAGGCTGTGTTGCGCAGGAGTGTTGCGCAGTTAGAGGAAGTACAGTCCACGGGCCGAGAGTAGTGGGGCTGCTCAGAGGAAAGATGGCCGCCACCAGCGAGGAACGGAGTGTTATGGAGGTTTCGCAGTCGAATCCCGGGCAAAATCAGCCCGTCGATCCCTTAAAGATACTTTATCCGATGGTTAACGAGGAGGAGACACCGTTGCCAAGATCCTGGAGCCCCAAGGACAAGTACACCTTCATCGGCCTCTCCCAAAACAATCTTCGTGTTCACTACAAAGGTAAGAGGGTTTCGATCAACTTCCCTTCTACGATCGTTTGTGTTTGCATTTCTGTGTTCACGGGTTCAGTTTCTCGTGTTGTGTTTCGATCCCGTCTGGGATATTTCCTCGCGTGCAAAGGATCGAGATGTAACGGAACCCCGGCCAATCGGATTCGATCGTCAGCCCCGACACGGACGAATCGTTGACGGGTCCGTGGGATATCGATTGAAAATGGCAGGGCTCCGTTTCGCGTGTGTCAGCGACCTAAACAAAGGAATCAGCTGATCGGTCATGGTCTCTGATCAAACTTTCTCCCCGAATCGTCTTGTGTTCACCATTATGTTTCTAGATATACTGTCAGTATATATCCACCTATTCGCGGATCATCACCGTAGGATTACGACCCTGGAAACTGATCGTTTTTACTTGAAATTCATGGGGAGAAAAAACATTGAATCTGCGTAGGGAAGACGCAATGACAGTGACAGCTGCGATGTTTGAACAGTTACTTTTCTCTCTCTCTGTCTCTGTCTCTTGCTCCCTCTATCTTTGATTCTCCCTTCCTCTCGGTCCCTCCGTTGACCTCCCTCCCTTGCGTCCCATCTTCGTCGTAGATTAATTTCCAAGTTTACATATTTTGTGTTTTAAAACAATCGAAATTGTTGTTCCCCCACGCGTGGTGGCCTTTGGTATTGCCGCATTGCAACGTGTCGATTTACATTGTTTGTTTTCCCCCCCTTTTTTTTAAACGAGATTTCGTAGATTTAATAGAAGACGTGTTTTATTTTTCTATTGTTTTACGGTTGATAATGCGTTAGGGCCGAGGCGTAAATAGACTGCGGATGTTTACGCATAATGATGTGCGTGTAGATTAATTCATGAATGTGGGAGGTGGTAAATGGTAATTCGTTGGATGAAAAATGAATTACAGATGTCGCATGGATTAATACGAATGGCTTGTTTATTATTTTATTTCATAGCACTGTACACATTCGTGTGTATCATAAATGTATAAAATCTGCAGTCTGATATAAAGAACTCAAATTCTGATTTTGTTGATTTATTGTTTTTAACATTGTTTACAATTAACTTTTCGTCCGGTATATGTTCTTTATTATTGTTATTTAACAGAATTTATCGAGAGAAATCCATTTTATGTTCTGTAGGTGAGAACAATTTATAAATCAATTCTCAGCACTGTTATTAATGAAATTAAAAACAATTGAGATTTTTTTAAAAGGATACACAACATTAAAATACACTGTTTATCATTGTTAGTCCTACAGATTTCGTGCATGTATACATACATATACTCATAATTGTCTAAAATATAGTTCAGTAAACAATTTACTCAAATCCAATGAAAAACTGATTTTATTTGAACTGTGTGCAAAATCTTGTAATTTCTAAATTCAGTTCCTATAAACTAATCTACAAGAACCTGTGTCTGTACAAATATCCACAATCTAATTATTTGTTTCTACTAAACTTCGTGTAAATTGGTGATAAAATGTTAAAGATTTATGATAAAAATTGTTGATATGTTTACTGTAACTATTGGTATACTTTATTACTTAATGTTTTATATTAAAATAATGAATTAATATGTGCATTTTAATTTTTTTTTCAGGATTTAAATAAGAGTAAATTTATCATGGCTACAGTATAATTAATGCTGCAGCTTGACTATTTATATTGTTTAACAATTTCTATGATGAATAAAAAAATATGGAAAGTTGATCCAACAATTTTGTTCTGTGTTTAATCTTTTACACTATTTGTATTTTGCATTCTTATGCTTATTTTTAAAATACAAATCGAAAAATTTTTAGAAACAACATCAAGGACAATTAATAAATCTAATAACAATTGATATTCCTTCCCTCTCCCACTTATATTACCACTGTTATATTTTTTTAAAAGTATCAAAAAATGTATGTAATAAATTAATTCCCTCTGTGAGTGATGTCCAATTGATATATGTAATACTTGATGCAATTAATACTTACATAATTATTCGAAAAATACTGTTATGATTGGAATAAATACACGAAAAACTCAATAAATTTTTATAAAACACGTAAGGTATTTAATTGTCGATAAAATAAATATTAATATTTCATGTTAATCAAATTATTTTATTTTTTCTTGATTAATATGTGGAATCAACAATCCAAACAACATAAAGTATTAGATGCTGTATTAGTTATAATAATTATTATCAGTAAAGTCATATGTATTTTTCGTTAATTGTAAAAATTTCAATTCTTTTATTGGAGGCACTAAAGGAATAAATAATTCACCAGAGCAATTTGTGAAAATAAACGTCTGGATACAATATAACAAGGTAATATTCATCAGGTTCTGTTCTTACTACTTAAAATTTACATTCTAAACATTCTACATACGAATCTTTATATAAAATAGTTAAATAAAATTAACGAATTTCTATTTCTTCTAAACCAAGTGAATGTTAATATTTATATGTAAGAAAGTAACTATAATTATTTTATAATAAAAAAATATATACCAAATTTTCCGAATAGGGGTTTTATTTAAATCATCAAGCGTTTAAAAGCAGCATCTGCTTGTTAATGTTACACTAATAACTTAAAGAGATAATAGTTATTTATTCTACTATGGATCTCTGTATGTATCACTGATAACTTCATTGATTTTTCTATTATCAATCTGATAGGTGATAATGCTTTTGTTTCAGGCTATGGAAAGACTCACAAGGATGCAGCGAGTGTACGTACAACACATTCAATACCAGCAGCATGCGGTCTTTATTACTTTGAGGTGAAGATTGTCAGTAAAGGTAGAGACGGGTATATGGGTATTGGTCTCTCTGCACATGGAGTCAATGTAAACAGGCTGCCAGGCTGGGATAAGCACTCATACGGATATCATGGTGATGATGGGCACAGCTTTTGTTCTTCGGGAACAGGACAACCTTATGGTCCAACTTTCACTACTGGAGATGTAATTGGCTGTGGTGTAAATCTTGTCAATAACACTGCCTTTTACACAAAAAATGGACACCATCTTGGTATCGCATTCACAGATCTTCCAGTGCGTGACCAATTCTTCATTGTTTTACAAAATATATTAGTATTAGTCATTCATAGGTCTTATTGCTTCTTTTTTTACAGCCAAATTTGTATCCAACAGTGGGTCTTCAAACGCCAGGAGAAGTGGTAGATGCAAATTTCGGGCAAGAACCATTTGTCTTTGATATCGACGACATGCTTAACGAACTCCGTGTCAAAACAAGATTACAGATTATAAACTATCCAACGCCAGATCACGGACAGGGTCAGTGGCAAGCAGTTCTTCACAAGTAAGCCCCACTGTCTCGTACTCTGTGCGTTAATATTCTGTTTAAGTAGACGTTATTTAATGTCTGTTTGATGATATACCAATATTAGGAAACGTAAGCAACTTTACGAATTACTTTATATTTTTATAATTGTCATCATTTTTAGCAGTCAGGCGATTTAAGTACGAAATACAGGAGTAGCAGAATGTTTCTGAACTAGTAAGATCACTAAAAATAGTTGAAATATTTTTTTCTTTTTTTTTATATATATATATATTTAAGTATCAACATACAATATGGTTCCTTTAGAACGATTTAAGATTAAAAAATGCATCAAGTTTTTCCATTCCCATGTCCAGTAGTTAATATACAATCTGAAAACAGAGTATCGTGTTTCTTATTGCGAAAGTTTTATGTTATGAAAGTAACTTTTTATTCAGATTCAAAAATATATACATACATATATTGACAACAGTCTCTGCCCTGTTATAAAACAATTTTATTTTTTTTTATTTTTTACAGAATGGTATCAACATATTTGGTCCATCATGGTTACTGCGCCACTGCCGAGGCATTCGCCAATAGTACCGGTCAGGTGTTCGTGGAAGATTTTAACTCCATAAAAAATAGACAAAGTAAGCATTGCTCGTGATACGATTGAAAAACAGAGGTAGGTTAATTTTCTTTCGTTGTTTCAGGAATTTTAAAGTTAGTACTGGCAGGCAGAATGGGTGAAGCCATCGAGTTGACCAGTCGACTGTACCCCGGCCTTCTCGAGAGAGACTCCAATCTTCTTTTTGCCTTGAAGTGCCGACAGTTCGTCGAAATGGTGAACGGAAGTGACTCTGAGGTCTGCCAAAATTCCAGTGTTAATCAAACTAGTGTCATACAGTCTACAAAGGCTTACACCAAGTCCTCAACGAACGGCAACGTCGAGGAGATGAACATTACCAACGCGTTGAACGGTTCCACCGAGCAACAGTTTGTCAACGGGCAGATCGAGGACGATGTAGATATGGAGGAGAATATTGTAAACGGTATGAGAAACAATAACGGCTACCAGAATGGCGATCTGAACACTAACGGATACAAGTGTCAGAATGGAGAGGACGTTGACATGGGTGAGCTGTTCTTCTTTTCTTTCTAAATCTGTTAAAAGCACTATGTAGACTATCTTGTCCTGAGACACATAACCTCTACTGTTAACACTGTCCTATTTTTTCTACAAGTTTTGGATAACACGATGAACGTACGATACTCCATAACGGAAATTCCACTTGCTTCCAGAGATCGACAATACTAATCAAACTCAACAGCAACAAAACGGTAGTTGCAATCCAGAAAACACATCGAATAAGGGTACCAAGAAACAGCTGTGTGGCGGTGACAAGCAAGCGATCGAGAAAATGCTCGAATTCGGCAGACAGCTATACTCTCAGTCGATACACCTGCGGCAACAACACGGGAAAAATGAAAGCAATAAAAAAATGCTCCAAGACGCGTTCAGTCTTCTCGCTTACGCGAATCCGTGGACCTCGCCGGTTGGATGGCAGCTAGATCCACAACAGAGAGAAACAGTTTGCGCAAGACTTAATTCCGCCATACTCGGTAAGATATTTTTTGTCCTATTCGCTGGGTATAAATTAGAATTTGAGTCGCGTCGAAGGCATAAAGAAGAGATCAGTCAAGCAACATGTACATATATTCATGCAAGCACATGTTCTCTGCTCTGATGTGACATACATGATAATTAAGCTGCTGGTGTTCATGCATTTATAAGACCCAGTAACTAAAATCCAACAATACCCTTTACGAAGGAAATAAGTTTCTGTCGGATTTTTGTTTTTATACATAAACGTCTATGACTGTGGATTTGGGTAGAAGCTAGTATGTCGAAAGCCGAATTAAGACCTTCAGAGGCCATAAACACTTAAAAGATTTTGGTAGCCCCATACACATACAATGACTGCCAAAAGTTTTCAGTCAAAATGTAATTCCATCATATCTTTGTCATGACTTTTGCCAGGTTCATATTTGTTAGAAACAGATTATTGTGCTGGTGCTTCTCTTATATATAATGTTTTGCAAGAAATGAAAGAATTCTGATACTTAATCTTGACCGTTTAAATGTGATTTCAGAATCGAGTAACTTGCCACGACGACCACCGTTGGAAGTCGCTGCGTCACACGCAAGGGAACTCGTACGGCTAATGTCCCGTGCTGGTCTTGGGGCATGCGGCTTCGCGGATGTAGACAATATCATCCAATATTGACGGTGCCTACACCTGCTGCCACGTCTGCTTCTTCTGCCGGCTCGAGTTTGGTTAGTAATTGCCCTTAAATGCGTTCATTACGCGCCGATCGCAACTGACTAGGGATAATTGATACCCGATTGTACAATTGACAAAACGAAAGAAGGTTGATGCGAGCACAGTTAATGGTGTGCGCGGTTCGTTATTAAGTTAAATGAATGAAAGATTGTTAACGAGAACACCATCTCGGTACCTTTAAATTAAGCTATATTTTGTGATAAAAAGAGAAAGATATCGTACGTAATTTAAATGAAATACATTTATTAATTTTGTTCATCGCTAAGAATAAAGTATATCCATTCTTGTAAAAAGAATAAAGCATTGGAATTTTTGTTTAGTTATCCGTCTGTCGTCTTGAGTCTGATTTCAACAATTTCTTTGCATGTTGGTCATACGGTCCCTTTACTTTTCGTGTGAATTTTTAAGGTTATCTCGTGTAACTGTTTTATAGTTCACACTATCAACAAAATAGAATATATCAAGGCTATTATCTACTGTTTAATGCTGTTTCAAAGTAAATGTGAGTGATTCAAGAATAACAATTTTTTAATCATTAGATGTTAATATCTCTTGAGGTATCAATTAGCCCTGGACTCCGCAGAGACCTTTTACTTAAACCAGTATTTACATTTTACAAAAAAAAAAAAATGTCCATCCTATGTCCTATCATTATACATTGGACAACTACAGTGAACCGATAACAATTTCTTTTTTAGTTCTTATGTAAAGAAAAATCAATAGGCTCCTGCAGCTATGTATATTAAAAAGCCTACTAGCAGGGGTCTAGGTGGAAAAGTGTTAAGTGGACCGGTTGATTCTGCCTGAACTACGAGCGATTTGGAATAACCGAACAAAGTTTGTTCCAGGATGTGGAGACGGAACGTGGAGCAGATAATACTCTTGCAGCAACAACGTCGCGACATCGCGTGCCTCTTCAGCTAGAGTCCACTCCGATCGGCAGTTGGATCTCTGGTTCGATCTCACACGTATACCTAAACACATAAAAACAAAACGAATACATATTACACACGCTCGCGAAACCCACCAAAAAATGTTATAAACACAGCGTTTACGGCAACGGGGACACAGGAGACGAGGATGGCAAAACTGCCGGCGTTTAACCTATATATATATATATATATATATTTATATATATAGATATCAAGCCCGATTGATCACAGCAGAGGTCTGGGCTAAACGCGAAGATCGACATGTTTTTAATAACGATCAGTGAAAGCATACTTAGGAAACCATGTAAGAAGAACACAGATTAAAAGCGGACTAAAGAGGTTAAGATCAAAATGTAGCGGATGGAGGTTGAGAAGCTATAGATAACACTTGACAGAATGAAACATAATGATGAATGGTAGCAGAGAAGGCAAGGTCTGAAAGAAGGGATATTTTTCATTGAAGTTGTAGATGGATAAAGCACCGCAGAAGACTCCCATTTTTGAAGATGTAAAATGAAGTTGTGGCTGAGACGTTCAGAGACGGAAAACAAGGACGAAGATGACGATGGAGGAAGAAGATACGAAATAAAACAAAAATGGAAGATAATGTTTCAAACATCTGCCAATCGAGACGAATCTTTTCTCGTTTTCTCTTGTCAACCGTTACATCATCGGTCTCGAGCTAGTTTCCTCACTCCCTTCATCACACACCTATCGTCATTATCATAACCTTTCAGGTAGGTTTTTCACCTGTTTTATCGCATACTTAAAACACATCATTCGATAACCTTATTCTCTTGTTTCCTGACATTGTTGCCTTTTCGCTACTCCAACAACGATGCCGATAAATTTGATTCCGTTTGAATTGATAATTTTCAGTACACAAATCTTTTCGAAATTTTTCAATGACAATAAGTTCAGCATCATTGCCAGTCTCTGTTTCTCAAACTCCCATTTGGCATTAATATTTGCTCGTGAAATTTTAGTTTTTATGTTAATTGTACGTGTCATCTCGTTAAGTTTGATTTACTTGATAACAAGAAATTTTAGTTTTTATTTAATCGTAACCCCCCCCCCCCTTCTCATTGCCACCTTTCCTCGTCGTAGCTTGATTTTATTTTTATTTTTTTTTTTCATTCGTCTTTTAAGAAGCGGATTTAAAGTCGCGTCACATCGTCCCCCAGGTCATCAGAAGAGACACTTTTTTATCGAAAGAGAAAAGTAACGATCCAACGAGAAAAGTCTCGTCTGACAAATTCTTAAAAACGATTGTATTATTAATCCCCGTCGAGTATTCTTGGATAGCCTTTCTAATCGTGTCGTCAACGAGTCGATTTTTGTATCAATTGTTAGCTCTTAAAGCGTAAAAGGTGAAGAGAAGAAAACAAAAACGAAAACACGGTGAAATAAAAGATAAAAGAATTATTCTTCGATTACTTGTCATTGTGATTAAGCTAGGAGAGATAACAAAAGGAAAAAAAATGAAATTAAATAACGGTTTCGGTAGGCAAACACCGTACGAATTTCGTTCTAACTTCGATCGCGTATAACCGACAAATAAACGACGAAGCAATAACGACCATTTTTAAACGACTATATATATTTTTGGTATTTCTTGCTTTTTTTTTTTTAATTGTAAATTTTTACTATTTTCTATTGTTACGAGAACACTTTCGAGTTCTCATCGATTGGACATTTTTTTTTTCTATATTTTTTTTCTCTTTTGGATCCACCCAATCGACCGTGATCGTCATCAAGCAATTGTTATGTTCTTCCGTTCGATTTTTTATTTTTGCGTAATAAGAAGAAAAATATATATATATCGTGCGTTAGTGATAATATCGTGTGATTACGAGGAACTTCGAGAGAGAAAAAAAGAAACATTGAGTGATGAAATATCGATGCAAACTTGATGATTCTGAATAATTGTAAAAAAAAAATCGAATATTATGACAGTTATACAATGATAATAAAAGTTGCATAATTAAAAAGAACGTTGTAAAATAAGCGGTGTTTTATATTTCTGTCTGTTTTCTTCTGTTTCGTTAAAGATTACACCTGTTCGTCTTCGAGGTCTTTTTAATTAATTTCTAGCGTGTTTTTGAAACGAAACGAGATTTTTCGGAAAATTGAATTTCGTATTTAGAATAAGTTCGTGCAAAATGTTCTTGTTTAAATAAAGTTGAATAATTTTTATACTTGACGTGGTACGAAAATCCATAATCAAAGAACACGTTCTCTCGACTGCGTGCAAAATTAGAAACGTATAAACGAATACGAATTTTTATAGCAAAAGTGACACCCAAAACCTTATTTTTTTAACAAAAAGAAACACTTTAATCGACTCTTTAAAGAATTTTTAAATTAACAGTGGTCGTAGATTATAAACTTCTTTAAGGTTGTTTTATTGAAATTTTTTTGTTTATCAAAGAAGCAAAAATTTTGATTGCGGAACGAGAGAACGATGAGAACAATATCGGACGAAACAAAACCATAGGAAGCAGCGATATATGTATAATAATACTAACGATAATTATAATAATAACTAACAGTACTAATAACAATACGACGACGATGAAAAAATTGACACTCAATTTAATTAAAGTGAACAAATTAATGATAAAAAGAATATATACACATATATACATAAATGCATGTACGTTTCATATGTATATGTGTATTTACATATATGTGTGTATGCATATGCGTACGTATATGTACGTAACAATCTTGTATTCTATGATAAGTAATTGTTTTTTATATGCGACATAGTGTATTATTATTATAATACGTCATGCGTATACATATACATATTATATGTGTGTATATGTATGCGTGTATACGTACGCATCTATGTAGAGGTATATATATATATACCTCTAAAGGTATATATATATAAAATCCTAAACATGTATATGTGTATAAATGAAAAAACGAAAAAAGTAATCATATGATTAGCGTACGCGTGAGATATAAGCAAAGTTTCATTATTTTACGCATGTAAAATCATCTATATGGGCACACATATCGGTAAGGCCTGTATGTGTGTTGTACGTTTTCATACACAATATAGGATGAGTCCGAACAAGTGTTAAGTGCTATCGATCAGAAGTTGTTTGATGTAGCACCAAATTCTTTTTCTTTTTTTTTTTATAAATTTAAAAGTTTTCTGGTACAGTTCCCGTTGTTCACCAGTGGTACCACATAGAACAATTGGTACCCCGTATGTTAAAGTGTTATTGTAATAGTGTGTGACAACAGTGATATTCTACGTAGCCTAATGGTATTTAACAACTGTATGGTATCGTTGACATACATGTACTGAAATGGTACCACTGTGGTACCCTTGGGATGTATGTGTTAGAATAGTACCTTGTATATTAGAATGGTACCGTGTCACTGTGGTATCATTGGTACCATATCATGTAGTATGGTATCGTACAGTAGAATATGGTATTTTATCACTGCAGTATCATTGATGGAAAACGAAGTTACTAGAAAATTGTAAAATACAAAAAAAGAAACGTTTGGTGCTATTGTGAATAGTTTGGGAGACAATAGCACGTGACACTTTGTGCGAGTCATCCTTATATGCAAGACATAATGTCGAATCTGTGAATGAATGATCGACGAAGAGTAAAGTGTGCACGAGTGAGAGTATGGAATTCGTTGATTCTGAATGGAATTCAATGGAGAAATTTGATGACGTAGTGTTAAAAAACGTTTTTCTGTACTATAAGTAGAAAGCCACGAGTATCTTGCGAATAATACAGTATGATTTGGAGATATTGTTGGTTGAATACCGTTTCTGTCACTCATTTCGATAATGATCCTGCGAGTTTTGTCCGTTTCTCGGGAAGTTCGAAACGAGGTAGTACTCTGTTTTTTTATTATTTACAGATGTCTCAATTAAAACCAGCTATTGTATGGAACTTTTGGTTTTTCAGAAATGTTAACATATTTTATACTTTGATTTTGTGCTTGTAAGTACACCATTTTTTAAAGTAATTATCTTATAGATTGTTATACAGTCTGCACTTTTGAAATTTACATCGTGATTTTTCAAATTAGTGATTACCTTCGGATGCTTGTACAGATATTTATATTATCGACAATTGTTTTCTGAATCTGCTTTATCATCTGTTGTGTATAAGAGGTAGTTACATTATCTACTTCCGGTACTTTTGTTTTACAAGGGACTGTATAACTGATGGTGGATAAAAAAAATAAGTGATTTCATTGTTTTTCAGTTTCTTAAGAAAATATAAGGTTGCGTTATGTCATCTCATGTAGTAATAATAATCTCATATAGGGGTGGATAAGAATAACCCTACAGTAATCCCTGCTTGTCGTAAGAGACAACTAAAAAGGAAAAGGCTTGAATCTGCCTTTGAAACTCCATAAGCCGGTGGTGGTTTCAAGAATAGAAAAAGGAGGAAGGAAACCGTTGCAACTAAAGCTCACGGATGAATGGTGGCTAGGCTCTGAAGCTTATGCGCTTATCGCATATGACAATGTGCCGAATATAGTAAAATAAAAGTTTTACGAATGAAATTAATTATTTACCTATTTCATGAAAAGTTAAATGAATGCTGGAAAAGATATTCGATTGGACCACTAACTATAATTTAATTTTTCTAAAATCCTAAACGTAATCCACCATAATTATTTTTATGCACTTACAAGCTTTTAACTTAAAACGTATATGACCCTTAATCTTCTTGGATGTTGGAGGAATGAGACCTTCTATCTTATTGTCCCTTTCAATCAGATACTGGCATAAGTTCTTAATATGAGACCATCAGTTCTGGTTGGACGTAAATGCCATTAATGGCGTCGATCCGCTATGAATATCGACATAATCCTGAGTAGCACTTTACAGGGACATTAGTACTCTGATGAACAATAGTTTAATCCTGGATACTTGACTTTAGCAGGAAACTTGACATAAAACCTGTTACACCAAAAATCGACAATTTAAATATTCGATATTTTAACTTGAAATTTTCATTGTTTATAATTTCTCCAATGAAAATTCTCAAACTAAATCATGTTTTAAGTCTCTCCAGCTGCCCTCTCAAGCTACTCGAATATTTCGGTAGTTAGTTTTCCTTGAATATTCGAACCCACTAACTCAGACCTAGTCTACTTTGGGCCCAGTTTTACTTTCATTGTACGCCTCGGCTTAACCTCCAGAAATACTGGAAACTGTCATTCCCCATTTATCTCTCTTTTTAATTCAATTAAATACATTTGTCCAGTTTTTAAAATTGCAGTCTATACGATAGAAAAGGATACAAATATTAAACGATCTAATTTTCATATGCTAAATATTCGTTAATATTACGACCACTTAAAATTCAACTTGATTAGTTACAAAATCTCTCAACGCTTCATTCATTGGTGCGTTTACCCTAGTTCGGGTCCGGATCGACACCACCGATCATCGCATCCCTCGGACCTCGTCGTCGGTGGCCACCGAGCCGGGTTTCTGAAAAATTCAAATTCTCGAGAATCTCTCGATCCCTCGAATCCCTCTCGAGCAGCGGGTCAGAATCCCCGCGCATGCGCTCTACGCCCTCCCGCCCCTCCCCGCCCCCTCCAGGGTCCGGTGGGGGGCCAGTCGG